CTGTTTTTTTGTGTGTGTAACGATGTTCTGATATTTCAAGAAGATATTTACTAATGTGTACTACAGCTTCTAGGATATGTTTTTTCTTTTTTGTTCATATTTTTGAAATGAGGGATTAGAAAAGTAATAAATAATTTTATTCGAAAACAAAGAGATAAAAGCTACGGAAATATAAGTAGCTCCAAAGATTTAGCGTATGGTGAGTTTCAAAATGAAGACCATAATAGCTAAAAGACATTCAGCCTTTTTTACCAAAAGTTAATGTGAGCAGCTGAAGAGTTTCGAATCAGAATCATGAGAAGTGTGTAATAAAAATTTCATCTAGTGTGCTGAGAACCACATGTCTGAAAAGTCAAGTCACTGGATACATTTTGCCAAAAAAATAGAGCAGACATTTCTGACAAAATGCCAGTGCTAATCATAAACACACTACTGGGGCAGAAAATAAAGGTTCGTAGTATTAAACTTAAAAATTAACTAAAACGACTCTTAGAAAACTAAATTTCATTCTCATACGGTGGTGTATTGCCAATATTTGTGTCTCTATCTCTCAGATCATACCACGTTGGAGATTTTGGACGGTGACCGAAGTATTTTTTACTACCAAGAGGAAGTTCTCGTCTTACTTGTTGAAATTTTATTCTACATTGACAGAACTCCACCTTTTAGGACAAAAGAGGACCATCTGTCACACTTCCCCTATGAAAGGAAAAGTTTTTTTGTCGAAAAATATCAACACTTTTAATTCCTTAAGTGGCTTTCTTTGTTTTACAACTGAGCACATGCATTTTCTATGTATTTAATTATCAAGATTAAGTGAGATAACGAAAGAACATTTTGATTCAGACATAGTCAATTTGTCGTATTACTGATGTGTTTGTGTCGTGCTTCTATAATCAAACAGATAAATATGACAGAATAATGTTGAAGCTAGACTGTCCTTTGTTCTTATTGATATTGTTTTGTTTGGGAATATTATTACCGTCAAATTTAGCCTACCATGATTTCAACTTATATGAAATCACAAGCGGAACAGAAGAATACTTTGATTGTTTATACCTAAGTGCATTCGATCATATTGTTTCATATTGTGTCCGTCGATCGTCAGGTGATCATGAATCACCATCTTACGATCAAGTCAATGGACAACCGTATACATCTCAACAGTTACGTGACCTTGGTGTAACCGAAAGTGATCTATATGATTGGTCAGTTTCGATTGGTATGATTGAAGCATACCAACTTAGCCAGAGTGATGATGAACTGTTGTATTACCACTGCACGCCACGGTGTTTTGGTTCCGTTTGTCAATACACGTTTAGCTCTACTACACAGTTTTTCGATAATATTATTTATTTCAGACAATCGATGAAAACATCTTCTAACCCAGCAGATGTTATTCGAATAACGAACGGTACATACTATATCTATTTGAAAAACTGTTCGGAAACATGTATAGATTGGCGTGAAATATGCGATGGAAAATCTGATTGCATTTTTGGTGAAGATCAACATGAAGGTCATTTTTTAGAATCAAATGATTGTGGTGATCAAGATAAATTCCGTTGTCAGAACGGTCAACAGTGTATACCAATGACATTGTTTCGTAATGATGGAAGTGCACCAGATTGTCTAGGTGGGTCAGATGAAACAGTAACACCCGTTTTTGACCCACCATGTGCATACAATGCAAATACGTATTGCGACATTCAATATTGTTTTAGTTGTAAAGTTCTGTTTCCCTGTGGTGGCGGGCAGTGTTCACAGCATCAGGCACCAACAACAATACCAGTTTGAAAGAATGGCCGTGATCTTTTGCGGACACAGCAGATGTTAACTCAATATCAAAGGCAAAACCAGCAACAATGGTGGAATGCCCTTCTTTGTACATTAGGATTTGAAAACGATTGTGTTCGTGAGGAGTGTACAACTCTCATTCTTTTTCCCATATTAAATTCCGTTCAGTTTATTTATAATTCAACAACTACAATTTCTCCTACTTACATATGCTACGATGAACAATATTGTTCATTTCCGAACTCAAACACAGTTCATGGATTAACATGTAAACATTTCGACGAATTAATCACTAACATACACAAATTGGGGTGATTTAATAGTCGATGTTCAACATTTATTTCGTCAACAATGTAGAATGCATACAAATTATTCAGCACACCTATTCCATTGTGGAGGATCAAAATGTGTTTCAAAATATTGTGTTCATAACCGCACAATTGATTGCTATAACGGTCGGGATGAAACTTATGATCACAGTTGTTCATTGAACATATCACACCAACAATTCACATGTACATCAGAAAAAGAAGACAGATGCCTTTCGTTGATACTTGTTGGGGATAAAGTAGCCGATTGTTCGAATATGGAAGACGAAACTCTCAACCACAAAAAGAGCGAATTTCTATTTCAACAAATATGTAACGGATCAATTGAGTTGCAGATTAGAAATGAAACCGATGAAACAAGTTGTCCGAAAGACTGGCCTTGTCGAATACAGTATACGATATGTGATAAGCACTGGGATTGTTTGAATGGTGAAGATGAGTTAAATTGTACTAAAATTAGTGACAAACCATTTAAAACATACGGATGTTTGTCATCACTTGATAAAGTTAATAATGGTGTGATAGACTGTTTGGGATCTACGGATGAGCGACAGTATTGTGTAAGCCTATATTCGAATGAGCTTGAAAGACGTTATCGTTGTTGGAATTCAACACAATGTATAAATATTCCAAAGGTCTGTGATTGTCACAAGGACTGTTTACCTGATGGTGATGATGAATTAGTTTGTCCTTGGATGCGATGTGCTAATCCTGAAGAAATAAGTTTTGAAAATATCGATGGTATGTTGATTGCCCCGGCGTGATACACAAACGACATCTTCGTCGAACGAAAATGGAATACTTTGTGATTTGATAAGTAGGCCAAGGAGAAAACAGAAAAATTTTGACACACAAGTTTATCTCGGATATCCTCAATCATCATCATTGCTGAAACAAACAGAAATAAAAGGTAATCAAACAACTATAGTCAACAGTCCTCCAGTTATTTTACCACCTCCTGTTAACATTACACTGTTATGGTACTGTAATCGTGGACTATTGATTCATTCAAAGTCAGATGATGGCCGTTGTTTATGTCCAACAGCATACTATGGCAATAGTTGTCAATACCAATCCAGACATTTAACTGTGACATTTCGTCTTCGTACAATAACGATATTTTAGCAGAATCTTATTTTCAAATTATTTGTCTATTTAATCAATACTACCACTCATATCATCGTCTCCTATGAGCTCTCCAGATTCATTATGCTTAGGAAAAACAATGCAAAGCAATATTATTCTACGGCGCTTGCACGATCCAATCGTTGCCCATCTATCAGAGAATTATTCGATCAAAAAATGATGTCTTATGGTTGGTTAAAACGTGTTAAATACTGTCATCAACTATGCCAACAATATTATGATCTAAAATGTTTTTATGATGAAAGACAAATGTGTTTGTGTGATGCAGATCATCGAGCAGATTGTTTTGGATTTGATCATAATATGACGTATAATTGTGATGAATACAATTACTGTGAAAATGGTGCACAATGTTTTTTTGAAGCTGAGGGATGTCCAAAAGATTTCATGTGTGTTTGTCTAGAGTGTTATTATGGAATAATGTGTCAGTTTTCAACTTCAGGTTTCTCTTTTTCATTAGATGCCATCATCGGGTATCAAATACAACCGAAAACTGACATTAAAAAGCAGCCTGCAGTTGTAAAACTGAGTATCGCTACAACAACGGTTATGTTTATATTTGGTATGGTTTCGAATGTATGTTCAATAATTACATTCAGTCAAAAGAGAATACAAGATGTTTCTTGTGGTACTTATTTATCTTAAACGACACGAATATCTTAACCATTTTTATATTCGTATTCAAAGTTTTATCTTTATTATTAATACAAATCAGGAGCTTAACAAATCAAATATCTCTTTATATCAGTTGTGTTCTAATACAATTTTTACTGAAATTTTTACCAACATGTGGCGATTAGCTTAATGTTTGGGTTTCAATCGATCATGCTCTGACTGCTTCGGAAGCAGTAATATCTAACAAACAAAAAAGTAAACGAACTACAAGAATTATTACCATCTTTATTCCATGTACAAGTGTTCTGCTCGTCATACATGATCCGATGAATCGTCGTTTAATTGAAGACCCAACAGACGTCAATGGTGTATCGTTTCATATCAAGATTTATTGAAAATTTACGAGACAACGATAAATACTATGAATTTTATTGTCCCGTTTGGTGTCAATGTTATTTCAGCTATTATAATTATAACCACAACAGCTCGGCAACGTTCAAGTGCTCGAAAACGAACGGCCTATTATCAACTTTTGAAAGTACAATTAAAACAGTACAGACATCTGATTCTAAGTCCTTGCATTCTGATTTTGTTAGCTCTGCCTCGTTTGATCCTCTCTTTCGTCTCTGGATGTATGAAATCAACACGCAATCCGTGGCTGGCTCTATCTGGATATTTCATTTCATTTATACCATCGATAACCATATCTATCATTTTTGTCATCTCATCAAAAATCTACCATGAAGAGTTTTATGCGACCTTGAAGCGTTATCGGAAAAGATTTAGACAACATTCTGTTTGAGTAACTCTATTAATTAATTGTTACAATGACAGTTGTACAGTACTGGAAAACGTTATAGAACCAGGTTTGAATCTACCTTTCACCTTTTATATTCTTTCTTAATTAATGTTTTTAAAGAGATTAAACCACTTGAGTTTCAGTGTACTCTTTTCAAATGCTAAATAATTTATTTGTTATATACTTTCCTTCGCAGTTGTTTATCATATTTTTGCAACGTAATTTCTTCAGTAGCAATTCAAAAGGGAAAGATTCAAAATTCTAATTTCATGTCATTAAATCCTACAAAATGTGCATAGATGTTTGTATCAAACATCCCAAATAAAACTGATACACTCCAGTTTACATTATCTGACGGATCCACCATAACACGTGAACAAAGCCTAGTCCTTCTGGGCTTAAAAATAAATTATAATCTTAGGTGGCGAGTACATGTTGATGACCTCATTGAAACTTGCAGGCAACTTCTTGGTGCTATGTACCGTCAATTTAAAGAAATTCCTCTGTCGATCAGGTTACATGTTTATCAGGCATGTGTTCTCACATAGTTTGATTATACCCGCGCATTGTACGATAGCAGCTTCGTTACACTGAAGATTTCACTCGAATTTGTACAAAAACTTACGGCACATATGATCACACGGGACTTTGACGCTCCAGGAAGAGATCTAGTACCTAACCTAAAGCTATCTCACCTAGAAATACGAAGAAAATATTTCGTTTAATAACATTCTTTAAAATTCTAAATGAATTCTCCTTCCTCTCAAGACTATGTTAATACAGACTTCATCAAGGGCTTTAAAACAAAACTAAGGCAATATCTAAACTTAAAAAATGGTGGCATGGTTTACAAGTGCTTAGTACTTTGCATGCTGTCCCCTTAACCAGCTTTTGATATAAAGTAAGGGTTTGTTCTTCTTTTATTGTATATTTCTGTTTTTGTTGACATGTCAAATCATTTGTCTTGTCGCTACCAGAATAAACATCAATCAATCAGTCGATTGAAGAAGGTGCTTGTCTGGTGCTTGACAAAGTTGAATGAAGTTCGAGAAATTTTGTCGTTAAAGAAATTCAGAGAAAAGCTTTGAAGTTGCTTTTTGGTTTCATATATTAAGCGCCCATTGATTGTTAGGAAGTACGAAAATATTTTTACCCAGTTTGCTGCTGATTTTCCTCCGCTAAACAGCAGACTCTATGTGAGAAATCTAGTGCCAAACGACTTGTGTGCTTACGGGAGATGCGAAACAACAAAGTAATTCCTGCCAGAGTGCAGCCTTTATCATGCAGCTAGAATTAAAGTGTTTAAATACACTACAAATGGAGCCTGACCCATCAGTGTCTAACTTGCTCCTTCTGAACCCAGTGGTTGACGCGATCAGCAGCTATACAATTTTTAGAAACAATAGGAAGATTTTGTTAGTTAAAAAGAAATAAAGTCAAAATAAATCAGACTGGAAGAAAAAGATCTTAAGATCCATATCATCTCTTTTGTTCATTTCTTTTCTGCTTCTCCCAGAATCTTTCTGAGTTCAAAACAAAAATGAGCCGATTCGCTCCATTCATAAATGCGTCAATGCAGCGTTTCCAATGTGAGCATCTTTACGCACATCAAAAAAATCAAACTGGCAACGCCGGCGAAGGACTTGAAAAATAATTTTGACCTTCGGCCGAGGGCGACGGAGAAATGCTCTATCAGCGGTGGTGTACATTTTTTATCTGTAAGATCAAATTTCCATGTAAAAGACGCATAAACATGCCTTACGAAGGCGTCTGGATTCCAGTTTTATGCACGCTGTGTGAGACATTGTGAAGGCATTTTGGATGATAATAGTTGAATATTCGATAGTTTTGACGATATTCTAGCTCAATTACAAACTTAAATTAATGGAACAATTATATCTATTTTATGTACGATAATCAAGGTTGACTCAATTATACAATGAAATAACACTGTCGCAATGATTTCAAAAAGAATAATTCCTCTTCAATGAACTCTTGACGTATACACATAGAAAATGAATGTGTAAAACTCGCATTTCGCACTTGTTTAACTTAAGAAGCAAAAGTTATTATTTCAAAC